TATATATATATTTAAATATACGAGTCTTTTATATATTTATACGTATATATATGTATAAATACATGTATATTTTGTGTATATATATTTTATATATACATAACAAATATATATTATACATACATATATATGAATTCAAATATATATATATATATATATATATTTCAATTGATTTTTCAATTAAAATCTAAATTTCCAACCGATGTCCGTTGGAATTCCGTTGGAATTTTTTTTTAAAATTTTTAAAAAAATTTCCAACCGGCATCCGTTGGAATTCCGTTGGAATTGTTTTCTAACAAACATCCGTTGAAACTCCGTTAAAAATTTGCAACCGATTTTTCCAACGTTAATCCGTTGAATATTTCCAACGGATATCCGTTGGAAATACCGTTGAAAATTTCCAACCCAATTTTTCAATTGAATACGTTGAAAATTCCGTTAAAAATTTCCAACGGGTGTTTTCAACGGATACCCGTTGGAAATTTTCAACGAAATTTTAACGAAAATCGTCGTTGAAACGCCGTTGAAAACCGTTGAAAATCCGTTGGAATTCGAGGATTTTTTTGTAGTGCCAGTTACTCAGATTCAGACTTTGTTGGCTGTGTTGACTCACGTAAGTCAACATCTGGATATGTATTTATGCTTGCCGGTGGAGCTGTATCATGGAGGAGTGACAAGCAGACATTGACCATAAGCTGAGTTCGTTTCATGTTTCGAGACAACATCGCATGGTGTATGGTTGAAGAGTTTTATATCCGGACTTAGAATTGTGGATTCTATTAATAGGCCATTGAAATTATATTGTGATAATTCAACTATTGTCTTCATGGCTAAGGACAATAAGAGTGAAAGTCGGAGTAAGCACATCGACATCAAATGCTTAGCCATAAGAGAACGTGTTGCGGAAAAGAAAATAGTCATTGAACACATCAACACTGAATTGATGATTACCGATCATCTGACTAAGGGCATGCCAATTAAGAATTTCAGGAATCATGTTGTGAGTATGAGACTTGGTTTCATGATGTGATTATTTCATTTGTACGTACGTTTATGTATTAACGAAACTCTTATTAAGTTCAGAATATCTTTTTTTATCCAGAAGTGTACATTATATTTGTTATTGAAAAGACTCACTTATTTGGACTTAGAAAAAGCATAAGGCTTATTCATTAAATTTGTGTTATCACATAAAGTTAAAGGGACATGATATATTGTAATACATGGAAGATAATACTCGAATTAAGATGACTTGTCGCCATGATTCATGTATTATGTTTCTTGTAAAGATGATCAATAGTTGACATTAAGAATAATATATGGACCAAGTGGAAGAATGTTAGAATATAAATTTATTTTATTTATTAAATAGAGTTCTCCCGTCGTAATAGAAATTTCTTAAATTCCAAAGATATGATTCAGATATTATTGAGTTAACTGTTGTGATAACTATCCATTAAACAGTTTTTTTTCTGATGGTGAAAAAACTATTAAAAATGAATACTTCTAGGTCTCTAGACTAAGCAACAAATAAAACAAATACACTATCGTTTATGATTGTTTTTCGATTCAGAATTTTATTTTCGCATTCATGATCTTAAATAAATTTTAAACTATCATAATATAGATTAATAGAGGGCTAAATTAATGTTGAAAATAATTTGACAAAACATATGTGATTTTCTTTACAAGGGCAATTCCATAATATACTGCGTACATCATAAACCCTTCTTTCTTTGGATATAATGATATGCATGACGGGAAGATCACAAATTTTTATAAATATTACAAAAAATGCTACAAAACAAAAAAAAATATATAGATAAAGATGAAAGATTTATTTAAATCCAAACTAAATTTAAATAGCCATTTAAAAAAAAGTTGAAAAGATATGTGAGACAGGAAAAAAAATTGATTGATGAGTACACATCAATAGGGACTCTATTCACTACTACTTCCACAAGGTGTTATAATGTGGCCACAAACCAGCAGCCTTTTGGGCCAATATTTTGCCTTTTCTCTCTCTCAATTTTAGTTATTATTATTATTATTATTATTATTATTATTATTATTATTATTATTATTTTATCTAACGATTCACATTAATTTGACAACTTCACTAAAATACAAAGGTTTCGGAGAGACCCCTTTTGCATTGAGTGATGGATGATGAAAGGATGAACTTTCTTCGCTCCAAAATGTTTCAATTCAATATGGGCACACACACATAAATTTATTTATGAGAAAATTCAATTGACTTACCAACCAAACATTGATAAATAATTCATGAGAAAATATCTACACTATTCTTTTTTCTTTAATCCGAAATAAAATTAAGGGATTTGTGTTAGATTCTTAAATTAAACTCTGTATTCTGAGTACTTGTTAAATAGATATTAGAATTATGATATGTAATTTTTTTATAACGGACTACCCTGTCTACTATTCTTTAGACATCAGCTTTTGTATATGTATCTTAATTAACCCAGAAATTATATTCCTCCCTGCCAAATAAAATCGAACATTCGACTTTCAGGTGTTTTGCAATATCAAGTCGACCACTCGACCACCCTTGTTGGGCATGTTTCGTTATGATTCAATTTTTATTAGTAAAAAGTCATTTAAAAAGATTTTTACGTTAATTTCAGATTTAATATTTTCGATTTTAGAGTAACGATACCTATAAATTTTTTACTCAAAATTCAGTTTGGTAGGATTTTATGTTATTCAAAATTTATTTTTTGGTAATATTTGATTCAGATTCGATTTTACAACAATCAGATTAATTCGATTTGAATTCGGTTCTGGTCAACGGAAACGAGCAAAATGCGAATATAACTGGGGCTTAAATACATGGCCCCGCATCCCTATAATATATGTGGGCCTTAAAATGAGCGAAAGCCCAATAATAAGCCTAGGGTTTAAAAGGTCAAACGACGTCGTTTTCAATCAAGATCTCCCGAATCTCAACTGGTAAAGTGTCAAATTCCTCTTTCGATTTCTGAATCTGTTCCCAATCCCAAATTGCTCACTCGGTTTGTTCCAATGTGTTAGGTTATGAATTGTCCTCAGTGCTTGTATCTCGTCTGATAGTTTTCGAGCGTGAGAGATCTTTGCAGATGGAATCTCTGTTTGTCACTTTTTCATGATCTCATTGTTGATTCGATTTCGGAGCTTAGCTACGGAAGACGTTATGATTTGCTTGGGCTGAACGGTTGTGGGAAATCCCCGCTTTTATCCGCAATATGATGCAGAGAGTTTCCAATTCCTGAACATGTCCTCGCTGGAGAAGGAAGCAGAAGCTTTGCTTGAGCAGGTTTGTCCGGACGACATTAGGCTTTGTGTCCCGAACGGTTATGCGGATTCGTCTTTAGCTAGATGCTAACTACATTGATGGGGGTGGCGAGCTTCTCGATCGTATCTTCGAGAAGTTTCAGCCCGCAAATGCAGGCAGAGGAAACAAAAGGGTTTTTCTTGTGGCTGGAGAAAGCGAATTGCATTGGGGAGGGCACTTTCCATGAACCGAACCATCCTTTTGCTTGACGAGCCAACTGGTCACTTAGGTAAGTATTCCGGCTGCGGTTATGGTTTCGCTTCCGATGGTTTGCTATCCTCAATGAGGCATCGTGTCAACTTTTGATGTTAACTGAGTTGTTCTCCTCTGCAACCGACTTGGAAGCTTGTGTCTGGTTAGAGAGGAGAATCTAAAGAAGTTTGACCGTGTTCTTGTCGTGGAGTCCCACTCCCAGGATCTCTTGAATGGTGTCTGTACAAGCATTATCCACACGCGAAACAGGAAACTGAAGTACTACTAAACTGGTAATCAACCCGTTCCAAACGGGAAGAAAACCAGATGGGAGCAGGAGCAGATTTCTGTTTCATTGATATGAAAATGAGCTATTCAAAATGTATTTATAGAAACACTGAACCACATACTCTAATAAGGGAATAAGATCCTCGTCTTCCGGTTTGTTGCTGTTCGGAAGCTTCTGTTGGATTTGGGTTTATTTGATAGAATCAAAACGGGCCTAACCCGTGAGAAGCCCGGTCCGTCTAAATTTAAATCTGCAGAATATTAAGAGAATATTCTTATTTGAATTTGAAATTCAAATTCAAATTGGATTCAAATCCGCAGAAAATCTATCAAATATGATTGAGATAAGATTGAGATAATATCAAAATAAAATCAAATTTGAATTTTGAAATTCAAATTGATTTGTTTTGAGATTCTCCCCTCTACTATAAATAGGGGTCTTGGGTTAAATAGGGGTCTTAGGTTAGCTCATAAAACACACAGAAAAGAAACAAGCATTCTAGAGAAAAAGAGCATTCACATATTTGCTCATATCTCTCTCTGAGTTCGCTTGGTATTTGGAAAGCTTCTTCCAAATACGCGGTCGTTGTATCCTGGGAGTTCACCGTGCTCCAATAGCCTCGAAGCTTTAGAGGTGGCACGGAAATCGAACTTAAGGAAACTGTGTTTCACAGGCCTCGACAAAATAATTTTTTAATTTCAGGTACTTATCTGGAATCGTTCGAATTGCCGGAGTTTTGCCGTCATCAATAACCGCCGTCCCCAACAATTTTTTCTCCAACATTTTCTCTATCTCCTCTATTTCTTACAGTTTGTCTAATCTATTCAAATACTCTTCTGGTTGATTTCTTTTCCTGTGATATTCTGATCGTTTTTTTGTATGTACACAAGTTGTTTGATGAAATGTTTGTAAAAGAAAACTGTAGAAGATGACCTACCATCTCGGTAAATGACCTACAGCCTACGGCAGATGACCTACGGTCTGCCAAATGACCTGCGACCCGTGGCAGGTCATCTTCGGCACCTACGGCTTGCAGTAGGTCAATTACGGCACCTATCGCACCTGTTAATCTGCAAGTATTTTTTCACGAATCCATGCAAGTGTTTTTCTATACTTATATAAGAAAACAAAATCCATAGAAGTGTTTTTTCATGTATGTGGAGGAAAACGAAATTTATGCAAGTGTTTTTTTATAAATGCAGGAAATCTGCAGGTTATAATAATATAGAAGGGTATGATGACCATTTTAACTTAAAAAATATAGAATACAAATATTACAATAGTAGAAGTATAGAATGCAAAGACGTTTTTTTTTTGTACATTTATGCAAATTTTCCATATATATATTATATTAATTTATAATTATAAAAAATTACAATAACAATTAATAAAATAATAAATGTAATAGTTTTTTAATATTGTTATAAAGAAGATATTATTTCAATTTATTAATAATTGAAATTTTAAATTTAATTTTTTATATTAAAATTATTCTATTTTTACATAATTTTTGTAACACTGAACTGTGGAGATATTTTAATATAAAAAATCTATTCTCTTTATTTTGTAAAGAAAATAAGTTTTCTTAAATTAGTTACTAGGGATGGTCATTTCAAGTTTGTTTTAGTTTTTATTTCGGTTATATCAATTTCTGGTTTATTCAAATAAAAAAATTATAAACAAATGATTATATAAATTTCATCAGTTTATTTTTACTCGATATGGTTTTAGCACAATAACATTATAATCAAATGACTTTATTCGTTCAATTTAGTTTGGATCAGTTTTAAACCGATTCGATTCAGTTATAAATGAACAGTGTAGACCCGGTCTGGTGGGTCAACTTACGCGTAGAGCCGAAAAGTGACTCTTTCTAATCTTCCATGGAAAAAATTTAAAAAATATTATATTTTAGACATATTAATAATATATAATAACACTTTTTTAAAATAAGCAAATAATTTCAAATGATCCTTTAAACCTCATAAATATTAAATCATAAAATATCAATATTTTAAAATCTTCATTAAAAATTCCAAAATCCTTCACAAACTTCAAAGTTTGATCACATTTTCTTCTTCATTTCATTAAAACTAATAAAATAAAATTATAATAAATATATAATAGATCTAAAAATAAAATTATAATTACAAGATATAATAAATATAGAGAAAATATATAATAGATCTAAAAATAAATTTTTAATCAAGATAGAAGAAATTACTTTGTTAATTTTTTTGTTACTATGATAATTCTCCATAAAATTTTATCCCATGGGAATAAAACCCAAGCTCATGTAGCTGAAGTAGAAGATGGGGAGTCTAAATTCGTAGCAGTTGTGTCAGAAGTGAACATGGTCGGAGATAATCCGAGAGAATGGTGGATTGACATTGGAGCAACCCGCCACATTTGTGCTAACAAATGGATATTCACCACCTATGACACTGTCACCGGAGAAAGCTGCTATATGGAAAACTCTGT